TTTGCCTGCAAAATTCAAGATGTCATTATTTTTTCTGCTGTGTAGTACTCCATTGTGTAAATGTACCACATTTTCCTTCCTTATCCACTCTTTAGTCGAGGGGCATTTAAGGTTCTTTCCGGGTTCTGGCTATAACAAACAAAGCTGCTATGAACATAGTTGAGCACATGTCTTTGTGGTATGATTGAGCATCCTTTGGATATACACCCAAAAGTGGTATTACTGGGTCTTGGGGAAGGTTGTTTCCTAATTTTCTGAGAAATCACCACACTGACACCCAAAGGGGCTGTACCAGCTTGCATTCCCACCAGCAATGCAGAAGTGTTCCCTTTACCCCACAACCTCTCCAGCATAAGTTGTCATCAGTGTTTTTGATCTTGGCCATTCTTACAGGTGTAAGATGGAATCTCAGAGTTGTTTTGATTTGCATTTCTCTAATGACTAAGGATGTTGAACATTTCCTTTAGTGTCTTTCAGCCATTTTAGATTCCTCTGTTGAGAGTTCTCTGTTTAGGTCTGTACTCCATTTTTTTTTATTGGATTATGTGTTCTTTTGGTGACCAATCTTTAAGTCAATCTTAAAAAGAAATGTCTGACTGTGTGCCTTTTATCACATTACCTGATAACTATCAGGTGGCCTTTAACGAGATAGTATGTACATTTGGACTTAAAATGTGGACTTTAGGCTGTGGAGATGGCTCGTTAGTTAAAAGGCTTGCCACACAAGCAAGAAACCAGAGTTGGGCATCTCCAGATTCCACTTAAATCATGGCATCCCACCTGTAACACCAGCCTTAGAAAGCTGAGATGGAGTCCCCAGAGCACGCTGTCTAGCAAGACTCTCTGTATCTGCGAGCTCTGAGTTTGATTGAGAGGCCTTACCTCAAATGAATAAAAAGGAAGAGAGGCAAGGAAGATACCTAACATCAGCCTATAGCATTACACAGAGACATGTGCCCATACATATGCACATATGCACTCACACATACAACATACATAAGGAAAAAATAGAAATATATAGACTTTTAAAATGAGCCTAAAATATGAGTTCTTACCAATGAAGAGACACTCTATGCATTTTCTTGCATCAGATTTTCCCGGAACAGAACCTGTAGGTGCGGCCACTTATGCAAGGAGTTCCTAAGGGCCTGCTCTAGGGAAATCAGTGTGAATGGGAGAGGAAGAGGAAGGAAAAGCTGGATGGGGAAGACAAACCCCCAATCACGAGATTGGCCAAAGGGAGTCTTGTTTGGAGTCCATGTGGCACCTCAGGCTTTATCTCAATTTTGGGGAGCGCTGGGTTTACATATGTTCGGACCACTTAGTTATTGAGCATAAATCCCCACGGAGAACAAAGATTCCCAGGTGCTTCTGGCTGCAGTGTCCTGTGACCAGTCACAGACATCAAACCTGGGAGTGAACTGAAGTCAAGAAGGGACGGACACCCAAGAGTAGGAAAAGGACTTTGCAGGGGCAGCGGAGTTCTGGTGCTGTAACAAGAAAAACCTGTGTGCGGGGGCGAGGAGATGTGGGCCCTACAAAGCGCTTGCCTTTGAAGCACTAGAATCCATGTCGAAAAAGCTGGCTGCCGTGGTGTATACCTGTGATTCCAGCATGGGGGAGGCAGGGAGAGGCAGAACCCTGGGGCTTACTGGTCATCTAGCCTAGACGGCCTGGTGAGTTCCAGAACAGTGAGGGAGTTTGTTGAGTCACACTGTTGAGTATCTACCTAAAATACCTATAATACACATAAAATACATGCTCTCTCTGTCTCTGTCTCTATCTGTCTCTCTTTCTCTCTCTCTCTGTCTCTGTGTGTGTGTGTGTCTGTCTATCTGTTTGTCTGTCTGTCTGTCTGCTCTCTCTCTGCCCCCACACACACACAAACACATTTTTAAATGAAATGTTCTCATTTGGGCTGGCAATATTCCCTTCAAGAGCCGTAGACCACCTAATAAAACCCTCAACACTATGCATGAGAAGCCCTCTTTTCAAATGCTAGTCAGGGTTATCCATGGAACTTCTAAAACATAATAGGATTGCTATTGCCCGTGCTTGCCCCCTAGATATGGAAGGTAAGTTCCTATTGATGAAGAAGCCATGCATTTCAGACATTTCCTTTAGGTGGAGCTGACCTGAATGCTTCCTCCATAAGGACTTCCATGGTACCAGAAGGTACCATACAAGTATCCAGAGGAGGGAAGCCACCAACAGTTCTACCCAGCTGTGATACCTGTGAACCAGAACCATGGCCAGTATGACATAACTCTAAGGGTGCAGCAGTGGCGTGCATGCCTTGGTGGTGCAAATGGCTCTCTAATTGGCCTTAAAACCCACTCGACAAGATGGAAACCGTGCCTGGTACTGGAAACCTAGTCAGCTACCTAGAGCTAGTGAAGTCATGCATCTCGGAGGTGAATGTTAGCTATTTCTCTTAAGCCGAACCTCTCTGCCGACGCGATTAATTCCAAATTAAACCGAATAAGAGATGCCATGTTTAAAGCAATGCTCCCGGGTAGCCCCAGAAAAGCATGGAGAGGGAAACAAAAAGAAGGGGAGACCATGGAAAACCTAGAGACCTCGTGTTCATTCTCTGGGGGGCAGTTTAAATAGCCTGGGGGAGTAGTCTTGACCTTCCCTGGGGAGGGGCCACCATTTGGCGTGCTTTCTTGACCCTCCCTGGGGAAGGGTCTTATGCCAGGGGCTGGGATGAAGCCCTCAGGCAAACAATCCAGACTTTTTGTGTAAAGGGCTGTTAGGGAGCTGGGGTGATGCTTCCGACCGAACAGTAAACCTACAATCATCCCTTTACTAAGCCAGCATAATCCCTAACCACTTTCTATATATTTGTCTTATAACCACAGGTAAGCGTAGTCCTTACCCGACATCAAGGAAACTTCCTCTTTGCAACAGATGGAGACCACGGCAGAAAACCACAACCAATCAAAATGCAGTTATGGAGCCCGGTCCCAGTTGCTAAGGGATAACCCTTCTGTGCAATGTATGCTGTTCTCACTGGTTGATAATAAAAGCTGCTTTGGCCTATAGCAAGGCAGAATATAGCTAGGCGGGAAAGCCAAACTGACTACAGGGAGAAAGAAGGGCGGAGTCAAGAGAGGCAAGAGCCAGCTGCCCAAGAAACAAGATGCCAGTTAGACTGATAAAAGCCAAAGCCACAGCCACGTGGCAATACACAGATTAATATAAATGGGTTAATTTAAATGTAAGAAGAAGTTAGTAATAAGCCTGAACTACAGGCCAAACATTCTGTAATTAATATTAAGCCTTTGAGTGATTATTTAGAAGCAGCTACAAAATGGGGTAGGACAGAAAAACCTCCATTTTACACCCAGTGGATACATCTAACGTTCACAAGGCACCAACCTTAGACAAACTAAGTATGAGAAACTAAGGAATGAGTAGGAGAAACAGTCTTCCCCGAAGAAGAGCACACCGATTGGTTATTCAGTGCCAAATGGGCAGCCCTGGAAACATACACATACAAGTCACATTATCCATACTAAGCAGGCTGTATTTGGGTGTTTGTGTGCGCACACCCATGTGGGGCAACAAGGAATGAAAAAAGAGGACATGAATTTGAAGAAGAGCAAGGAAGAGAATATGGGAAGGGTTAGAAGGAGGAAAGGGAAGGGAGAAATGATGTGATTATATTACAATCTCAATGAATCTAAATAATGCTTTTAAGAAGTGATAACACCCGAGTAATAATACCATCTCTGCCCCCCAACACACACACACACACACACACACACACACACACACACACACACACACACA